AGCAGCAAGAGCAGTTTCATTTAAACTTAAATTTTTCAAAATAATCTGAATGAAAAATGCAAAGGCAGAACTTCATGATTAGACTCAATGGACTGACTGTAGTAAACAATCCGTTAATTCTCTATATTTCCTGACACAGATGTATTCAAATATACAAATTCATCTGCTGATGGAACTGTGACCCCTTTATTGTTATAATGGAGAGAAGAGCGATTCTCTTTCCTAACTTTAGGTTAAGAACCCTTTTCTAAAAAGGACTCCCGCTCACCATCCACCAACAAACTGGAACGTTATTCTTGGATGCGCTTGTAGGACCGGATTTAAAATAGTATCCATGTTAAAGTCAAACAATATAATCAACGCAGGCCAGAAAAACTTACTAATCACATATGGTTAGCTAAAGTCATCTATGTTATTGTAGCAAAAGTAAATCATACCGTTTTTTGCTGAGAATAGAACAGGAAAATACATCTCTACACATTTATCATTTCAAGAAATTAGAAAAGCTGAAACCAGTGTAGACTTTTCAATTTGGCTTTACATCCAATTATTTAGACCTACAGAACTACAGTAGGAGCCCTGTGGCTGTAGCTTTCAGAAAAATATTAGTAGCTACCAAAACAAAACTGCAGGCGATACTTCAGTGGTAACATCTGTAAGTGTAAAACCTTTTGATTTTTTTTTTAAGTTGTGTGTGAAAATAGAAGATTGAAGCGATATGCTTTTCTAAGAAATGGAAAAAAAACTGTGTGGCAGGAAGTATGTATGACATTTGCAATTTGCAATCACCAAATATAGTTTTTGTGACAACCAATGAGAATAATCTTACGGTGTGACAGACAGGATATTAGTACTAATGAAGCACCACCCACAGTAATTAAAAGCCCAGCAAAATTCCTACAAAGAGACAGGGTCAAGATGATCGTGTTATTGGTGACATTGCTTTGTCTTCAGCAGGGATGTGAGTTTTTGTTTTTATTATTCTAGCTATGTCTTTAAAAACAGCTTTTTCATTTAACGCTTTTGTTCTTTTCAGACACTCTTGTACCGATGAACATTGTTCAGACTGGAGAATCTGTGACCTTCAAATGTGCTCTGCCCAGTCAGTTTAGCAAAAGAGATGTCTACTGGTACAAGCAAAGACCAGGAGATACACTGAGACTGATTGTAACAGTGTTTTTGAGACAACAAAAACTTCCAACACATAAATTTGATCCGGAGATTCCTGACTCAAGATGGGAGGTAAATAATGATGAGAAATTTAGTCGTCTGACATTGTTGAAGGCGTCCTACAGTGATGATGGACTCTATCACTGTGAACTCTCTGCCTGGACAGGGAGTATTGAATGGAGTGGGACATATTTGATGGTGACAGGTAAATATGTTTTGTTTGTGTTGGATTTTTTCTAAATATTTGCTTCTAAAATTTCACCTTATGAACATAATAGAGCTGTGGGGAAAATAACAATATGTAGACTTATAAGGAAGACATAATCCATTTACATTGCATTTTAAAATTTAATTGAATAAAAACTAAATTTTATACATTAAGCGTCTCACTGAATCTGTCCATTCTTTAACAGAAACGCTAGAGGTGTATTTGGCATAGTTTAATTTACTTTTAAACTTTTCTTCTGTTGTGCAGATAATACTGTGAGGATATTGAACAACACTGTCATTCAGCAGCCTTCAGTATCCATTCCAGTTCACTCAGGAGACACAGCTACCCTTCAGTGTTCTGTTTTGTTTGACTCTGAGAAGATGGCTTGCTCTGAAGATTTCAGCATGTTCTGGTTCCAAGCAAAATCAAATACTTATCCAAATATGATCTACACAGAGGGAAACAAACATCATGAATGTGAGAAGAAATCTGACTCTGAGAAGAGTTGTATGTTTAATTTCTCCAAAGTTGTCAGCTCATCTGATTCTGGGATTTTTTACTGCGCTGTGGCCTCATGTGGAAAAATATTATTTGGGAATGGAACCAGACTGGAAATTGGTAGGATTTTTTCTTCGATACTTGAAATTAAGTAATAAAAAAATAATTATCAATTACAAATAATATCTTTTGTTGTTTTTAGTGGAGATCACAAGTTTTGAATCTATTGCCCTGGTGACTACCGTATCCTGCCTGGTTTTTTCTTTGATTTTAAATATTGTTCTTATTTTTTACCAAGCTCTGAGGGGAGGTCACAAAAGATCTCATGGCAAGTATTACAAAAAATTTAGATTTCTGTTATTTGTTTATCTGGGACTATGTAAAAGATTCATTGTTTTAAACAACTATAACTTTCTGTATTCTCTGTAGATTTGCCAATTTGGTATAAAGTTTGTTATGTCTTAGTTGGAAGGTTTTTGGCATATTTGCAACAATAAGTTTGGATGCCAACTTTGAAATTATAAATGTGTTAAATATGGTTTTGCATTGCCTTTGTTTGCATTTATTATCTGTGAAACTTGGCAGTCAAATTTGTAACTAAACATCAGTAAATATTTTATTCCCATCTCTAAACTTAAGTATTTTGTTTCTTACCAAGACTCTTGAAAAGTGATTTTGTCCATGCAACTTTGTAGCTCAGTCCAGCTTTTAATTATATAAAATTAAACAGGAGCTAAAGCTTTTGACACTTCTTAAAGTATGTTCACCTCTTTTTTTCCTGCATATTCGCTCACAACTATTACTTGACTTGTGTCACCATCGAATATAACAGATTTAAACATCCAAAGAAAATGGATCGAGTTTATAACTTTCTGATTTTTTTTTTTTTGTCAGGGATGGAGAGCACCACTTCACACGAAACATCACACAGACATCGAGAGAGAATACCTGATCCTGTAAGTAAAATGGATTGATGAACAATATTTTCTTGCTTTGATTTTCTTTTGTTCATATTCAACAGCTATTTGCACAAATTTAATTTCATCTGCTCCACAGGCTGACGGTGAAAACAAAAATTATGCTGCCTTGAATTTTTCTAAAAGTAAGGAAAAACGTGGAGGCAAGAAGAAACAAATGGAACCTCAGGAGTGTTTCTACTCTGAGATTAAAGTCTAAACATAAGTAAATATTGATGTGAATAATTGGACATAACTCTTCATGTAGAGTATTTTAACATACGTTTCAACCTATGCTAGAGCAAGATTTTATGACTTCTTAAGATATGTGGCTTTGCTTGACGGGTTTTATTCACGTATTGTGCTCGTCTTTTTGAAATGTTTGTATTTTTACTTTTATTAACACAATCCACTCCTGTTGGAATCATTGTAATATTCTTGTAATCAACTGTAAAAACAAAAGAATTTGAAATGACAGAAATTGCTTTGTATAACTGGACAACTTACAGAAGTATTTCTCACAAATATTGATGTGTCCCAGTGATCACCTTTCTGATGGAAAAATATTTTTGAAAATCAGATAATTTCTGGTAATGATTAAAATGTTTTTTTCTTGTTTTGCTTTTTGCTGTCTGGGACTTTATCCTCTGTACTTGTCCCAATTAGCTGCATTATAGTCCAGAAGTAGTTGAATATTATAATTGAATGTTAAAAAAAATTACTCCTATTTCACGTTAATCTTCACAGCTACCTATATTACTCTGAATCTGCTTTTCTTTTAAGTTTCATTCAGAATTTAATCTTTTTTTTCATTGTAAATACAATATCAATTTCCAGTTAGAAGAATAACAATGGCATCAGCTTGGTTTATGTCATGTGTATGCACAATATAAAATCTTATTTGATGCTCACCGGTGTTGATTGATTTGGTTGACCCATCAGAAGAAACATTGCAAAACAAAAGATTTCTAAAGTATTGCCAATCATGGAGTCTGCAAGTTCATTATAAAACTTTCACCATTATTTTAGATCAAATATTTTTATTGTATGCAAAAATGCTTTTTGAAGATGGCTCAAAGAGAAAGATTCAACACAGTCTCTTATTCAACTCATATCTTAGATTGTTAATAGTCAGGGCAGCTATTTAAAATTGTTTTCTGACATAAAGCAGCGCATAGTTTATTAATATATTTTCAGTGCAACATAGCTATGTGGTTAATGTATGAATCCCTTTACACCTTGAATAAATTTGTGTACTAAGGCAGTTTTAGCCATTTCAATTTTATAGATATATATTTATAAAATAAAGGGAATGGTGTGAGAAAGTTTTTAACTGGATAAGTTAATCAAAAATTATAGTACCATTCAGGAAGCCTCTTGATAAATGCCACTTTTAAACTAAAATTATTAGTTGTACCAAACTAACTTTTTAATTTAAGATAAATTGACATTCTGAATTTATGTTGGACAAAATGGCATTGATAATTTTACAGTTGCATCAGTTTTGCAGCCTATGGAAGCTAAAGTCATTTTTACCCCTAAGTTGAAACAAAAAAATGAAACATGAAATGAACAAAGCCAGTATGTGGCAGCCGAGAACCAAAAGCTGAGCGTAGTTACATATTGCATCAACACACTACACAGTGGCAGTCAAAGAATAAAGACATAACAAAGGCTATGGTTTAGATCTGTGCTGACAAAGTGAAGACTAGTATAGCGATTTGTTTAGTGAGGAGGAAGAGGAAATTAGTAGCAACTTGCTCAGATATTTAAAAGCATTCAGTGACAAGTTTAGTCTTTCTATATCATCACAATGATGACAGACTGCCTGTCTTCTGTAGGCTGATTGTGTAAGTCGTTTCAGGAACTGGTGAGAAACTAAGTAAATTGTGATGCTTAGCATCTATTCCCGTCTGCACTTAGTTTATTCACTAAATATATGTATTTCAGGAGCTAAATGGAATTAAGGTGCACTGTGTTTTTCTGGTCATACTGACCACATAAACCCATTGCCACTCATCAATGTACACAAACACTGATTCATAGATCAGCAGGCAGCCTGGGGTTCAGTGCCTTGTTGAGGGGCACATCGACATCTGACAGGAAGAAGCTGGAACCCACAACCTTCACACTGAGGTCTTTTTCACACCAAGAATTGCAAAGCATTTCCGCATTTTTTGCTTTAATGTCCTCCAAAATTAGATTTGTAAAACATATTGGCATTTCTGAGTTACATTGTTGAAAAAGGCATTAAATGTACAAAAGACAAAAAAAAAACTATGAAAAAAATAGCTATATACATTTTATTAATTAATTTATTTTTCTAAAATATAAAATAAAGCAACCATAACTTCACACTTTGGAACAAATCAATTCATAGCATGAAGACCTTTAAAGATAAAATAGCTCCCATATATGATGTTTAAATTCCTTTCATATAATCTATTTACATGACACTAAACTGAATATATAAAGCCTACTACATGGACAAGAAGTTGTATTTAAAAGTTAACTTGTGAGTACACACTTTCATCCATTGGTTTCTTCTTTCCTTTCTTTGCTTTCCCTCCTGAGAAATGCAACGCTGCGTAGTTCACACCATTTTCATCATCATTCTGCACAAAATAAATAAATAGCAGTAATAATCTTCATGTTTCCACAACATAAAAGTTAAGTGAATAAAAATTTGACAGATATTACATACATTATCATCTTCTTTTAGGCCCAAATCATCCTGTCTTGATGTGTCTAAAATAAAATGACATATGTCAATATGTTTCACAAGAACCAATACTTAACTGAAAATAATTTATCTTTTAGTTCTAAAAGTTGATATCTCTAAACACTTCCAAGTCTTTGAAGTTGAGAAAGGTATTCACAGTAAAGACTTTTCTTATCTGTGCATTATTTTTGCTAGAATATAAAATAAAATAATAAATTAGATTCAATAAATAACGCTTACCTTTAATCTGTTTTTTGGCTTTTTTCTGGGTTTGGTGACAGATGATGGTAATATGTAAAACAACTGAAATTATTAGGCAAATTACTACTGTGACCAGAATGATAAATGCGGAGTCTGATTTCTCTAGAAAAGAAAAGGAACAAATTGGTGTTTAAGGATTAATTTTAATTATCAATACAATTTATGTAAAACATTAATATTCTTACCAGCTTCCAAAGTAGTCCCATTTCCAAATAATATTTCTCCACAACTGGCTATAGCACAGTAGTACGTCCCAAACTCTGAGCTGCTGACATTGTGAAAGAAGCTATGAACACATTTCCTCTCATGTTTCCAACTACAATCGTCTTGGTTGATTCCATCCGTGAAAATGATTTCAGGGAGAGATTTCTGTGATCTGGCTCTGAACCAGAACACACTGAGGCCTCCTGGACAAGACCTATTCTTAGAGTGAGAGAGAACTGAACACTCCAGAGTTGCAGAATCTCCCAGTCTGGCTGTATTTGCTGGTCGTGACCGCTGCACAATTGTGTAGTTCATTGTTCTGTCATCGTTCCCTGCATAGTAAAAGAATGTTTACCAACATTAATGGTAGCACTCAAGAGTGAAGCCTTTGAATATTCCTAATGTATTTTAAAAAATACAATCAGAATATAAGCTAGCTCTTACTGTTCATGTAAAGCACAGATTTTTTGTCTTTTCAATTTTACACAAACATAGTATACATTACATTTTTTGTCATGATTTGCAGTAATAGGTGGTGAGGTAGATGCAGTGGACCTAGGTTGTAGCGAGAAAATTAAGATTTAATGATGAAGAAAGTCCAGGCAGCACGGGTGAGCATTAAGGCAAGGTACTTAACACTTGTAGCAACCAACGAGAACTGAGACAAGACGTAGACAAACAACATTCAACAAGAACCCAACAGGGGAACACAAACACATGTGGGGTTAAATATACCAGGAGTAATCAAGGGGAAACAAGAGGCAGCTGGAGACAATCATTCTTAAAACTAAATAATATTGAACACCTTATCACAATGATGCCATTAGGCAGTTTACAGATAAAAATTGCTTTGATTTTCTCAGTCTCTATTTGTGTGTCCTTCCAGAGTTTAGAAGACAACATAAAACATTATGAAAGGACCAGATTAGGCCACCATAACTATTCATTATCGAGTATGACAAATGTGATATAAAACCTTCTCAGTTATCAAAGCTTTTTTTTATTATCACTGATCAGTGTTTTGGATGTTCCAGCAGGTATTTTGACAATTTATCTTTGGTGATGAACTCCCCGTCTTTGAGATATCCTCTTGCTATCATCGTAATATTTATCTCCATCTGCAAATTCTCTATCAAGTCAGGGTTCTCTACCTGAGCCACCATAAAATGTTACCATTACTTCCCATCAGAAGAAATATATTGGAGTAAAATGAATACCTTTTATTGACAAATAGATCCCTCTCCAGATATTCTCAGTCCAGTCAAGGATTGCACAGTGATAGATTCCCTCGTCTTCTTTAGTTGTATTCAGAATCGTCAGATTGGTGATTTTCTCATAATATGTTGTCTTCAGTCTTGAGGCCGGCACCCCCGGTCCATACTTAGGGTCGGTATTTTTACGCAGCATTGTAATCACTTTCAGAGTATCACCTGCGCTCTGCTTGTACCAGTGGAGACTTTTAATACCCAACCATTC